CGTTAATTATTATAAACTAATATAACTATTATTAACTATCGTTAACTATCGTTAATTATCGTTAACTATTAAAAACTATTAAATACTATTAAAAATTATTATAATTATCGTTAATTATTATTAATTATCGAAAATTATCCTTAACTATTAAAAATTATTATAACTATTAAAAACTACCGTTAACTATCGTTAACTATTAAAAACTATTAAAAACTATTACTAACTATTAAAAACTATTATACTTATTGAAAACTACCGTTAATTATCGTTAATTATCGTTAAGTATCGTTAATTATCGAAAATTATCGTTAATTATTAAAAACTATTATAATTATCGAAAACTACCGTTAACTATCGTTAACTATCGTTAATTATTATAAACTAATATAATTATTATTAACTATCGTTAACTATTGTTAATTATCGTTAATTATTAAAAACTATTAAATACTATTAAAAATTATTATAATTATCGTTAATTATTATTAATTATCGAAAATTATCTTTAATTATTAAAAACTATTATAATTATCGAAAACTACCGTTAACTATCGTTAACTATTAAAAACTATTAAAAACTATTACTAATTATTAAAAACTATAACTAACTATTAAAAACTATTATACTTATCGAAAACTACCGTTAATTATCGTTAATTATCGTTAAGTATCGTTAATTATCGAAAACTATCGTTAATTATTAAAAACTATTATAACTATCGAAAACTACCGTTAATTATTAAAAACTATTAAAAATTATTACTAATTATTAAAAACTATTAAAAATTATTATTAATTATTAAAAACTATTATAACTCTTGAAAACTACCGTTAATTATCGTTAACTATCGTTAATTATTATAAACTAATATAATTATTATTAATTATCGTTGATTATTAAAAACTATTAAAAACTATTATTAACTATTAAAAACTATTATAACTATCGAAAACTACCGTTAATTATCGTTAACTATCGTTAATTATCGTTAACTATTAAAAACTATTAAAAACTATTAAAAATTATTATAACTACCGTTAACTATTAAAAACTATTAAAAACTATCGTTAATTATTTAAAACTATTATAATTATCGAAAACTACTGTTAATTATCGTTAAGTATCGTTAATTATTATAAATTAATATAACTATTATTAACTATCGTTAATTATTAAAAATTATTATTAATTATTAAAAATTATTATAACTATCGAAAATTACCGTTAATTATCGTTAATTATCGTTAATTATTAAAAATTATCGTTAATTATTAAAAACTATTATAATTATCGAAAACTACCGTTAATTATTAAAAACTATTAAAAACTATTATTAATTATTAAAAACTATTAAAAACTATTATTAATTATTAAAAACTATTATAATTATCGAAAACTACCGTTAATTATCGTTAATTATTGTTAACTATTATAAATTAATATAACTATTTTTAATTATCGTTAATTATTAAAAACTATCGTTAATTATTATTAATTATTAAAAACTATTAAAAACTATTACTAATTATTAAAAACTATTATAATTATTAAAAACTACCGTTAATTATCGTTAACTATTATTAATTATTAAAGATTATCGTTAATTATTAAAAACTATTATAATTATTAAAAACTACCGTTAATTATTTAAAACTATTAAAAACTATTACTAACTATTAAAAACTATTAAAAACTATTAAAAACTATTACTAACTATTAAAAACTATCGTTAACTATTAAAAACTATTATAACTATTAAAAACTACCGTTAACTATTAAAAACTATTAAAAACTATTACTAACTATTAAAAACTATTATAACTATCGAAAACTACCGTTAACTATCGTTAATTATCGTTAATTATTATAAACTAATATAACTATTATTAACTATCGTTAATTATTAAAAACTATCGTTAATTATTATTAACTATTATAACTATTAAAAAGTACCGTTAATTATCGTTAATTATCGTTAATTATTATAAACTAATATAACTATTACTAATTATCGTTAATTATCGTTAACTATCGAAAACTATTATAATTATTATTAACTATCGTTAATTATTGTTAACTATTAAAAACTATTAAAAACTATTATAACTATCGTTAACTATCGTTAATTATTAAAAACTATTATAACTATTAAAAACTACCGTTAACTATCGTTAACTATCGTTAATTATTATAAATTAATATAACTATCTTATAAAAAAAAAGATTCGGTAAGTAATTACTTACTAAATTTACTTAAGTAACTAAAAAAGGTTAAAAGTTTAACTAAAGTTCCGATTATATATAAAACGAAAAGGGAGATTCTAGTAAGTTTCATTATCGTCGACGCGTTTTAAAACGACGAACGACGGAACTAAGAAAACTTTATAAAAACTTTATAAACTTCTTTACTTAAAAGGAATATATAAGAATCCTTTCGTAAACGGTTACGTATCGTAGAATAGTCGTTTAAGTGAAAGTTTTAAGAACTTAAGTATATTTAAATTCTTACCTTTTTAATTCTTTTCTTTTACTAAATTATACTTACGGTCACTTTATTTTAACCTTAAATACTTATTCCTTTATATATTATTACTATTATTATTTAATAATTATAAACTAAATTAATTATTATTAACGATAATTATAATAGTTTTTAATAGTTTTTAATAATTAACGATAGTTAACGATATATAAAAGAATAAATACTTAAGACTAAAATAAAGTAACCGTAAGTATAACTTAATAAAGGAAAAGAATAAAAAAGGTAAGAATTTAAGTATACTTAAGTTCTCAAGACTTTCACTTAAACGACCATTCTACGATACGTGACCGCCTACGAAAGGATTCTTATATATTCCTTATAAGTAAAGAAGTTTACAGAGTTTTTACAGAGTTTTCTTAGTTCCGTCGCTCGTCGTCTTAAGACGTGTCGGCGACAATAGAACTTACTAGAATCTCCCTTTTCGTCTTGTGTACGATCGGAACTCTGGTTGAGCTTTTGACCTTCCTCGGCTACTTGGGTAAATTTGGTAGGCGATTATTTGCCGAATCTCTTTCTCCTTACAGAATAAGACGAGGTGGGTAACAACACTTCTTTTCTTCTTTTTATTTAAAATATCTATTTCAAACGTATACCTTTTACAACGGTATAATAACAACGACGAAAAAAACAATTATGGCTCCTTTCGAGAGTAACTTTTTGAGTAAATCTTTACGAAGTTCGGTCAATAAGTCGCCTTACGGAGTCATAAAAACCATACGGGCACACCTTACATTCACACGCCCGTAACTATAAATCATACGACGATTCGGTTACAAAAGCGACAATTTTATGTCTATTACTCTTCAAAAAAGCGTAATATGTTGTTTTTCGAGCCTCAACTTGCCAGGGCACCTCTCCAGAAGGCTCGAATTAACACGGGTTACCAGGAGTGCGGCGTTGCGTTGTGCCAAAATTCAAAAAGAGACTGTTGGGCGCGGTGGCATCGGTGGGCTAATTCAGGGGCTGGAAATGGCGCTGAACCGGTGTGACTTATTTTTAGGTGGTGGGGTAATGTATTTGTTTGTATCTTTTGGTCATGTGGAGCCTAATTGACCAATTATAAGGTGCGGCTGAAAAAAGTCATATTTTCGGCCTCAAGGGGATATTGGCAACACCGCCAAGGTCCGAGGAATTCGCCGCAATTAATAACACCACGAAAAGCAAGTGTGAAGAAGCAGACGTAAACTCTGGTAGAACCCTCACAATTGACTTATCGGAGCACTTTTGTCGGAAGGAGCGATTGACACCGTCTAGCAGCCCGACACTCGGCATCTAGCGCGGGGCCGATCCGAAGTGATCACGAAGGTCGTCCTACTCCTTAGCTCCTGCCGTTTACACAAGTGTTTTGCACCCATCTTAATTTCACGTCCGTCTTTGTGTGAACTCTGTGCCTATGCCTATTGCCATACCATTACCAGTATCGATACAACATACTTCTTGCACATTGGGCCGGGCGTTAACAAAGATACCTCGCCTCCAGCACCACGCTTTTCGTGTTTCCTAATATCGTTAACCGCTAAACGTACCTGTGACAGAGGCGGGAAACCAAGACGTCTTATTGGTTGTGGATATTTGCGGGACCTTTGCAGCTCTTTGCGAATATGATTTGGGCTTTGCCCGTAAAGTGTCCTGCATACGCCGTTCAACAGGTCACAAATTTCAAGTCTGTCGTCGCATGCTTCCGGTGTACCATGTCTAATTTCCTTCTTTTTCCTCTGTACGCACCAGTGGTCGACATCCTCGCCGACTGATGGGAGCTGCCGGCTGGAGTGGCTCAGTGGTTGGCGGAGACCATTGTGCTCGCGATTGGTACGTTACAAGGGGCAACCCTTTGTACAGTCCTGCTTTCACTGGAGGCAGCGACATTGACTGGGCAAATTTCCACTCTCAGTTGAATCGTACATAAAATACAGAGAAACACAGTTTATAACCTCTCATGTCCAAAAAACATAATAACGCCGCTTAAAATTGGGCCTGCAGCCCATCGACGCCTCTTTGTTCACAGACAAGTTTGTTGGTTCCTGTCCCTAGGACAGCCAGTTTGGCGCCAGCAGCGCTGTAGCTAAGCTTGTTCATAAATTTCAATTGACACAATGCTGGCATTACCAATCGAGCTTTCCACGCCGTGAAGGAGCACAACAAGACACTGCCGTTCTGAATAACATCCCACTATGTACGGTGATCAACGGTGTCCATGCATTCCTGTTCAATGGCACGTCTCAAAGTTCAGATACCATGGTTGGAGATGTATAAATAAATCCAATCTCACGTCTTCAACTCCACTGTTTTCCTTCTGTTCTCCTTCCTTTCCCTCCTTTTCATCTTGTAAATACATATCTCACCACCAAAAAATACCCAAACAACATTGACCCACTCACAACAGACATCTTCGTCACCCTTTTTCACTCAAGTAAGTCATCTGCACCACCCAACTTTCTCAGCGCACATCATCTCAATATGTTCGGCATGTTCAAGAAGAAGCAATCCAGCGGCAGCAGCCGCCGGCGCTACCAGCAACCTGCATTCCCGGAAAACTTTGCCCCGGACTTTACCGTGCGCCCTGGCGACTCGTACATTGCGGCGGCCTCTGCTGCTGAGGATTATCTGGCCGAGACGGACTTTGTGATGCGCCACGACCATACCTCTTACGACGCTTCGCAGCCTTTCCAACCAGACTTTGCCAAGCGTCCGGGCCACACGTACAATGCTGCTCAGCCCGCCTCCAGTTTTTCTTCTTATGATACTGACTTTGCTCCTCGTGTTCAGGATAGCTACAACGCCGGCCAGCCTCTGACGGACTACAACACCACCGGTTCTGGTATATACGCCCAGCCCACTTCTCTCTCGTTTGCGCCCATCCCGTCCTCAGATCCAGCTCCTGGTCTCCACCGCTCCAATGTCACCCGCAAGGCTTCGACGTCGTCTCACCGAAGTGGCCACCACTCTTCTCAACGCCACTCCCATAGCAACTCTTCTCGTTCAGAGGGCCATGCTCACTGTGACTCGTCTTCCCGTCATAGCCCGTCTTCACACTCCTCGTCCTATCACAAATTTCACTCCAATCACCACCAGGCTTCCTCTTCTTCTCACCGCCGCCATCGGGAGCCTCACCATTCGTCGCAGCGCCACACGCAATACTACGACTGTGTTGAGTACCAGTAAATAGCGCCGCATGAAATAGTGATGGATCACACGTAGGTACACCCCGATGCCTTACAATGCATTCTTTGTTTCATATATTTTAGCTTTGATATCAATCTTGCACTGCACCTATCTACGCTCTTGAGAGACTACTCGTTCCTTTGTCATATTCACTATCTCCAAATGTGAAGCACTATACCGCATGTTTTGTTTTGTTTCGTTAAATAAAAAAAAATTAAAAAGGGAAACAGATATTTAAGTTTCCAATCAGCAAATTGACGGTACTTTAAAACTATGAAGTAATGCGAACGCAAATAGAAAACAATAATAACGTATCGTATTACTCCAGGTGACTCTCCTCTTTGATTGTTCATTACGATCCAGCATGTCATCCTTTACGATCCTTGATGGCAAAAAAAAAAATTGAATAACATGACTTAAATGAATAAAGGACTCGGATGTGAGAAAATATATTGAGAAACAAACCTCCGCAAAAACAAATGAACAACAGTATTCCTTTTCAGTGTGGAGGACAAGTGGAAAATGTTTGTAAGTACAGCAAGGACAAAAGGTTGATACTAATAAAAACCACTGATAGTCCGATTTATACCGGCTCGCCAGTCTCCAACAACATAGGTATTAAACTCAGCCCACAAACAGACGCTTATTTCCCTCCATAATCTTTACACCTTCGTTTTTTCAATCTCGGCGAGCGTCTTATTAACTTCATCTTGGAACTCAACCGTTTGCTTAGCCAGATCGTCTATGTGGTTCGCAAACGTGGCCGCCAATTCTTCCAGTTGTTTTGTGCCCGCCTCGAGGCCTCGAGTCGTATCGTCTGTGGTCGGGATCGGCGCCTCATTAGACGCTGTTGTTGCCTATGGAGTGGGAATTGGAGAATAGTTAGCACTTCATGCAGGAATAGATTAGCATTGAATGAAAGCATAGAGAACGACATACACCGGCATCTTGAATTTGTCCGTTTTCCAGTCTATGGCGGTCGTAGTCAATGTCTGGCGAGACAGCGTCTGACTTGGAGGAGGAAGTATTTTGAGTATTGGACATTTTCGAGGACTGTTTGTAAGTAAATGAGAAAGGATATTATCAAGGTCAGGTATTCAGTTGGGTAGGAGTGAAAACGTGTTGAAAAGGGGTACACCGATTTGTTTTGTGAAAAAGGGTGCACGTGGGATGGCAGCTTGGACAGAGGAAGGTATGACTATCAAGCAGAGATGAAGACGTGCCTGCTTACACGGCGCGAATAATGGAGGTGATTGACAAAATATTTGGCGGAAGGTTGAAACTGAACATTGAGAGCGAAAGGGAGAAAATCGAATTGAGAGAGTGTCAGGGAAATAAATAGTAGAGAGAAGAATTGGAAAACAAGGTGGAGGACTTGCACAAGTTGTTTTCATACGTATCTGCAGGTCCCTGGCGGCCGCGCGCCTTCTTTCCTAAATGCACGTAGTCCATACCATTTTGAGGTTTTGTCGAGCAGTAGCTGTTCGCTCAAAGAGACAATGCCACTATTCCTTTCCAAGGTGACTTTTGAAAGTCACCCGTTTCGAGGGAAGCCTTGCACCCCAAAGAGGAAAGGTCCAAAATAAAGCTGTTTTGTTTTGCATTCCGTGCGCTATTTTAGATCTCCCGCTGGCAGGCAGCCCTACTGACCCACAGCGGCTCACAGCCTTTGCCAAGGGTCGGCGTTCAGGACGAGTTTTCTCTGCAAGCACCTGCTAATGTGGTCATCTTCCAACATACTACTCGCACCCGACGGACAGAAATCGCCAAAATGGAAGAAGAGACGGATATGAACAGTTGGGAGGATGGGTGAGTATGCACATAGTGCGATTACCATGGTCTGCAACGTTAATTCTAACCTACTTCTTGTCGAAGGCAATCCAGTGGTGAACCGCCATTGTTGAGTCAGGCTAGAGAACAGCTCGAGAAGACGGAGGCCTACTATGCAGCAATCGAATCGGTACTACAATCGACAAGAATACCTTGTCCTGGACGCCGTGCCAGAAAGGCCGATGCGAGGCAAAAAGAATGCATAGACAAACTCCTGACAGTGGCTCTCGAATGGGGTCACGAGGTCATTGTTGTCAATAAGTGGTATCTCTCATCCCCTCGCGTCTGTCAAGACTTACGCGCACTTGCAAAGCGGTACTACCTAGATGAAATTCGTCCGCTGCTCAACGGCCTTCTCTACCAGGACCACAAGTCGACAGAACCGCACTGCAAAACTCGGCTGTGCACTGGTCTCGAGGCTCGCCATTTGGTCGCGATTCGACGGTACATGAATGGTACCATCGAGATTCCTATGATTGCAAGCATCGACGATCTGCCACTCTCAGACCAAATATATTACGAGATGAACAGCTCGGGGTTTCTACAAAAATCCAGTCACAAAAGACTTATAGAGTCAAAGGCTGCCAAACACCGGCTGAAATGTGCAAAGGATGCCCTGAACTCTGTCATCACTTCTCTCCGACTGGAATCTCAAAATAAAGTTTTGATTCATATGGCAGAGACATTCGAGGCCCGGAAAGAAGTTGACGAACTAAAGTGGCTAAAGCATCGTTGGGATCGAATGCCTTTATGCGAATATTCCGTCACACCGATCCGGTATGGCACGAAGGGTCCATGGCATATGGCCATAGTCAATGCCAGAGACAATATTATTATTCTACACATTTCAGAATCAACCGAGAGCGTTCCACAAATGTTCTTAGGGTTGCCCGGCTCCCAGGTCTATCACGTTCGTCCGGCCGTGTCAGCATCTAGCATCGGCGGTGTCATCCACTATATGACATTCTTCATATCCGCACCAGACCAGTTCATCGCGAATCTGAAAGAGAACCGAAGTCCTGAATTTGGCATTACGGTCCGGGGTGTGTTCAGTGAGGCTGATGGAGTGTCTTTGATAAGCGAATCGGACCTTGCTAAGTATCTGTTGGGTAAAACAGGGGACTGGTAGCGGGCGATGGTTGTATGGTGTTTGGATGCGATTGGGCCACAATAACCACGTTCAATTCGATTTGTGTTTTAGAAAACAGGTAGTAATTCAGTCTTTTGTCATTTCCCATCCCAGAAAGACACCACGGTTGCCAATTTCTTCATCGATACGCTGGCAGCTAGTAACGCCGTCGACTCCAATTGTCAACCCGATCTCATGTTTACTGGCTCCCGATAAAACAGGCTGGGCCTCTGGTACGATGAATATTTCCGACAGAGGGAGGAGTGAGTTCAGCAAGCTCTTTGGTAAGGTTGTTTCATCAAAGGATGCCGAACAAATACATGTTCGGTATGGTGCCGGACAGGGACGTGTAGCAATAGAATAAGGATGCCGGGGATAAGCCACAGATAGACCACAAAGAAGCCGGCAAGGTGTTGCTTTTTATTTCATGGTGTATCAACATAGGCGACAGTGATGCGTTTGGTGGAGGTAGGCGAGATCGTTATTTGCTTGTCGTTTTATACTCCGCGGGCGGGAAGGGATACACCGGGAATATTGAGCTGGCGGTGCTGAATACTTGCCGCCGTCCAAAGTTAGGATCTTGTCCTACTACGACAATGCGTATATCGTTGTCCTCTTCCTGTTGATATCATATGCTCCCACTCGTAGCTAACAGCCGCGTATCTGTTTGTTCCTGCCCGAGATCAGTCATAAATTTGTCCATTGGAATTGTCATATGCTAATGTCTTGGGAATTTATTCAATCGAAACAATCTGTCCATAGTCACTCTTTGTTGTTGCCGAGAAAAGAGTCGTCCTACCATCGCCGAGAAAAAGGGAGCACATATCCTCATCACCTAGTTGGGCTGCCATTTGAAAACACCGCTGCTTCTCATCTCTGGACAGCCCGTGTTCTGCACCAGCTTCTCGTAGCAGTATTTGTGCCGAATCATACGCATGCCGTGAAGCGCAAGAGTACGAGTTCATAATGATTCGTAACAATACCGAGCACTGCTGGTGGTCTGTCTGATGCACGCCTTCTTTGAAGTGGCGAACCAAAAGTCGGAACATGGCAGGATTGCAGTTGCCAGATGCCAGGTGGAAAACGTTCTCGCCGCGAGAGTTTCGGTATCGGAGGTGTGCCTCAATGCCCTTCTGCCCCAATAAATATGCCACGACATCAACATGGTTGCCTAAGACGGCTTCTCCAATCGACTGATGGGCCGCTTTACCAACAACGCCAAATTTATACTCGCGATGGCAGTCACGTAGCAGTTCGGTCCGGAGCGCTTCATTTTGCTGAGCGCCAGTCATCAGCCGCTCAAGTATCGGCATGCAGCCCCAGCCAGCCGCCGAGCAGAGAAGCTCGTTGCCCCAACGGTCCTGGACCATACTATCCAACACGCGGCTGACAAAGTCAAATATTGTGTCCCAGTCTTGGGCCAGTCGATCGGAGGCAGCCCATAGCTTCATGACAAGTCTGAAAAAGTCAAGAGTCTGCAGCTGTTGGCAAACTTGTCCACCTGTGAAAAGTATTCTGAGTCGAGACCGGTCACCCGACAGGATAATTTGCTCAGCAGCCCTCATAGCCGTGTCGGGGAAAAAGTTGCCGTCATCAAAGTCGGCCGTTTGGATCATATGCCGCAGCATGACTTTTGAGCCAAAGAGCGCGTTAATTCCAAGAGGGTCGTACCGGCTGCTATCGAATGGGAATCTTGGCTTGAGGGTGCACCCAGGGCGACAGTTTTGTGTGATCCAATTGTGCAGTCGCATCGAGCCGGCTTGACACAATGTCTCTATCTTCCCTGGCGTGGGAGCAAGTGTTGCGGTGCCATAATGGTCCAGCCAGTGGCACGAAGCGTAGGTAAAGAACTCGCCAAACCCACGGCCGATGGGATCGAAGCGGATCATGTTTTCTTCAAAGGACTCCCAGGTGCAACACGGATCATAGTCAGTCGGTTCATTGCTATCGCCGAACAGGTCGAAATCCTGTGGGAGCTCGTCAATGATCAATTGCTCGTCGGTGAACAGATTTTTGCTGCCAATGTCGTCCAATAGAAGATACCGAACGCAGATATCCATCAAAGCTGCCCCAAGGCTTGCGATCCGCTGTTGAATCAGCAATTCATTTGCCGTCGTGGGGATGGGAAGGCCTTCCAAGCCAGGCTGACTTGTAATCCATCCATATATGATAAATTCATATACCGACTTGTGTGCAAGTGTCACTTGGCGTTTGTTGACATCAGAGAAATCGACATGAGAAATAAATGGCTGTATCAGACCCAGAATCCGTTGATGGTCAACCTGCTGCGATAGGGCAGCCACAGTCGTGAGCCCTTCCTGTGAGACACCCATTGCGACGGCCCACGCGAGTTCGAGTACGCTCAGCGGTCGTCTGCTGACAGCAAGGACCTCCAAAGCGGTTGTGGCAAGTTTCTGGTTGTCTGGGTCATTCGCCGTGTACCGAGAAAATATGTTGACGTAAAGCTCGGAGAGCTGCCCGGGCGGGGGGATGTTCTCCAGGAACGCCCGCATCGGGGCAATTGCTCTGATCCTACGGACTTCGATGAGCTCAATCACCATCCTTGTCCATATTGCGCTGCCTCGTGCCAGGAGCGATAGTTTCTCGGAAACAAGGTCTTTCACGTCCTTAGCCAAAAAGTGCAATTGCCTCTCGACCAGCTTTCTCACAATTATGCGATCTCGCTCGGCATTAGACACCAGGTAGATCCTAGCCGTTTCATTGAGTCGCACGAGGATCTCCTCTTCGGGCCGCGTAGACAACAACACCTTGAGACTGGGGGTTTTCTGCGAGAGAGCATTCAGCGATTCGAGAACGGTGTTGCGAGAGGCTCTGTCGCACTCGTCGAGGCCGTCGATGACGATGAAGAGTGGACGGTCGAGCGATTGTACGGTCTGGTGCAGAAACTCTTCGAGTTTTTTGGTGTTTTTCGCCGGGTCGTAAATGCCGGACACCTCCGTCCGCTTGTACCACTCGAAGAATACCCGTTTCAAGCCGGACAGCTGTGCGAGGAGGGATAGAATAAGTGTAGCGAAAATATGGATAGCCTGGCCCGTCTCGTCATCCCTACAATAGTGGTAGCAGATCTTGGGACGCGGCAATTGTCGCTCGTTTCGTCGACTCAGCTCGTCTATGAGAAAAGCCATAGCAACCGTCTTTCCTTGTCCCATATCGCCGACGATGGCCAACTGCTCGGAACCGGAGGCGGCGTACCAGCGGATGAACTTGGTGTCTTTGAGTAAGAGCTCGCAAGCTTGGTCGGCACAAACATCCCGCAAAGACGCATGTTGCTGGCTTTGGCGACTGATCTTCCCGCTGTCGAGCCACCGAGAGACTAAGACTATAGTTAGATGCGACAGGTATAATTTTATGTTGGTAGTGACGATCGAACCAAAGAAAATAAATAAATAAATAATAAATAAAAATACATACTTTCCTGATCATATAACATGGCTCGAATGTCTTCCACAATCTCCCATGTCGCCTTCTGAACCAGACGTCGGAGATTGTCGGCCTGTTTCAAAAAGTCATTGACGACTTTCGGCAGACGGCCATGCTCCAAGACCATTTTCATCACCAGCTTCGCTCCTTTCTTGGTCAGGATCTCAAACGCGGCGCTGTAGAATTCCAAGAGTTTCCGATAGACGGACACGAGCGCCTGCAAAACGTCAGAAAGGCTGCATACCATTACGTGGAAATGAACACCGCCCTCGTAACCGACCTTGTATATATCCGTCTTGTTTGTCTTCTGCCCAAGCGTATCGCAATCGTCAATGTAGGAGATCTGCTCCAACATATCCCCGATTTGCATGGCAAACTGGGCGTCGGCAGTCGACATGCTAATAGCAATCTAGGCCGGCAGGCGTTAGTACTCTTAACACTCGAAATTCGAAATGGGGCGGAAAGAACGAGGCATGTAGCGCCCGTGAAACGGACCCACCGCCGTTACGCTCCGGACGACGCCAACGACGGTACCTGCAGTAGGCTCGATGCTCGCCAGAGGGGCCGCTAGATCTAGCGCGAGCTTGAAATTCTCTAGCGGCACTTGAAGGGAACGCAAGTATCTCACACCCCTCACGAATGCGGAGTCCTTTGAGGACTCCTTATCCATCTCCTCGAGCTGTCTGAACAGTTGCGAGACATTGTCGCCCTTGAGAATCGCAACGTTCACGTCTTCGCCAAGGCTGTTCACCGCTTCACGATATGCCGCGCTCCAAAGATCAGCGCCGTCGCCACCGCTGACGTCGGTGTCAGCGCCAAGTGGCTCACCACTGACAAGGGGATCCTGCTTGGCGCCGCTTGTGTAAAGGACCGCATGCAGTGTGTTTCGGTCGAGCTGCTTTTCACTTGTGGTATCACCGGTAGTGCTTCGGTCCTGGGCAGGATCCGCAGTGGACTCCAAAGACAGAGACACAATCGTCAAGGTGGCATTCTGTGAACTTGCGTCCGAACTACTTCACGGATCAGAAAGGCAGCATATCTGGCTGGGAGCTATATGTCACTCACCTGGCTGCAATCGCCCCGAGAGCCGAAGTAGATTCATAATCCTCGTTTTTGGACCGGTTTCGAGATCTGCTCCGAATCCGCAGGTGCTCGCGTATTCTGTGTCGAAGACCAGAATTGTTCCTAGTCGAAGAAGACATTGTGGCTATTTGGAGAGTATGGTTGTACGTGAGGTAATATTGGTCTCCAAACATAAGCACGTATGGCTGGGTGACCTTGTCTTGCAGTGAAAGGTACAAAGAAGGGGAGGGGATGGAAGCTATCTCCACGGTAGGAAATTGCGGCCCGTTCCGCTCCGTCCAGTACAGGGCACCGCTACCCCGCCCTTTCCTACCCCTCCCTCCATTCACACCTGAGGAAAGTTTCCGTCTTACTTTGCAATTTTTTCGACTTATTCCACATGTTTCTGCTGCAACCTGAACGGATCTTGCGAACTAATACTTCTTATTCACCGCCAAGGAAGACCCCAAAGTTCCTATTATTATTTCGCTATTGGTATTTACATTAAAAGAGCGGACTTATGCATCAGCTCTGCTCATACAAATGATCACTGTCGGCAGAGACCTTGACGCTTGACGCAGCGTTCTTCCACAAAGAACTCAACGTTTGATACCGCAATTCCGCCCTCTTCGGACAACAATTTAACTTGCCATGGTCTCCGGGCATCAGAAAAAGATGGGTCATGCTCCGCATAGCACACCATGGCATCCATCATAGACACCGCACTGACATGTCTCCAGCACACCTCGTCGTTTCTTAGCATACCCCGCGAAGTTCGCAACGGCATCTACCGGCGCGTGCTCGTTCTGCGCCATCCACTCCATTTGTTTCAAAACAACGGTTCAACGGTACCGGGGCCATTGGAGACATTTGCGCCGGAGAAACCTGCCCGATGGCTTGCACTACTCTACGTCAACCGACAGGTACACGCCGAGGCTAGCGAGGTGCTGTACGGACTGCATCATTTCCGTTTGGTGGGCACGGCGCAGAACCAAGCGCAACTCCTGTGCACCTTTGTGAACAGTATTGGGCCGGGCAACGCAGGCGCGGTCTCGCATTTGAGCATCAACTTTCCAGCAATAGAACGCGTCGTCGGTGTTGAAGGGCAGCTGGGTAGACTTAGACTCGCGCTCACAGGTGATGGCCAGAGCAGTCTGGCGATTTTGCGGGAGAAATGTCCCAATCTCACGATTCTGGAAACGCTTGTCTATACCCACGGGTCCCAAAGTCTGCTGTATGCAGGCCATGACAGCCACGACGATCTTGACGACCAGTCCATTCGAGAGGCATTGGCACACGTGGATGTGCAGCTCAAACTTATCTCGTCACTACGAAAAATCATTGTCCGATTCTATAGCGGACCCCTTGCGCCCTCTGTGGTTGCAGCGATGCAAGGCTTTGGCTGGGATGTCTACCGGGGCGACAGAGCGAAGCTGGACACGCAAGATGCGGGGAGAACATTATAATATTTACCATGGACGACAGCACAAGCCTGGGCCGTGTTGGCGAGATGATTTGTATAGTTATTGCTACCACTTCCTACCGAATTTGGATTACGACTTTGGAAAAGTGCTTTTGCTCCTCGACACGCTTGTACGCGGCAACTGTGTCCGCCAGAGGGAACGCAACGTCGTCCAGGGCCGGGTGGACATTGTGCCGTTCACAAAAAGCGACCATGTCCCGAAACATGGCCTTGGAGCCGAGGACGACACCACGAACCGTGCAGATGGTCCACAATGCGGCCAGCATGTCGACCTTGGTGTCGGCGCTGGTGTTTCCTGCGTCGAGGACGCCGACCAGCGAAATGATGCCGTCGGTTCGGATGGCCTGGAGCGACGGGCCGAGCGTGGCCACGGCGCCGCCAACGTCCACAACAAAGTCAAACCCGCGGCCGTCGGGCGTGAGTTTGCGTGCGGTGGGTCCCCAGTGCGGGTCGGTCTTATAGTCGAGGACGTGGGCCGCGCCGAGGGCCGTCAGGCGCGCCACCACGTCGGCTCCCTTGCCCGTCGTGGCCACCACGGTCGCGCCCGCGGCACGGGCCAACTGCAGGGCGGCGATGCTGACGCCGCCCGAGCCCTGCACCAACACCCAATCGCCGGCCTGGACCGCCCGGCCGCGCAGGCCAAAGAGGGCATTCCACGCCGTCAGCCCCGAGCAGCCGAGCGTCGCCGCCTCGGCAAAGGACATGTTGCTGGGCATGCGCACGAGGCTGTCCTGGGCAAAGACGGCCTCGTGGGCCAGCGTGCCGTCCCGCGCCTGGCCGAGACCAGCCGAGATGCTGTCGAGGCGCGGCAAGACGCCGTCGCCGGTGACGGAGTGCACCATGTGCGGGAGGACCTTGTCGCCGGGTCGAAATGCAGTGACGTTGGATCCCACGCTGTGGACGACACCGGCGCCGTCCGACCCGGGCACGGTGCCGGGCGTGGGCTGTGTGGCCGGGAGGCTGCCCTTGGCAATGGCAATGTCGCGATAGTTGAGCGAAGCGGCGTGCATGGAGACGCGGACATCATCCGGGCCGAGCTCTGTCGGTTGTGTCGCAGGGTCGGGTCCGTACACCAAATTGTCGACGCCGCCGCGGGGGCCACGCAACGTCCACCGCATGTTTCGGAGCGAGGCCATTTTGATGGTGCTGCAGGTGACGCTTGAAGGTGAATTTACGCTTGAAGGTGAAATTGTAATGTCTCCCTGTGATCCACGTCTCGTTCTTGGACAGACCGGACTTAATGTGGTCGGTCGGAGTTAGGTTGGTTCATACGAACAGGGTAAACTTTCCCAAACGCCTAGCTTGATGGCTTGAAGAAAGCTGAAGTGGGACGGACTGGAGCTTCAGGCACCGCTTTGTCCATCTTCCTGGTAGATTTATGAGAACAGCCTCCATGAGTGATGTCGGACATAAATAAACCGTTAAAATAAAAACAATGCTCGCTGACACAAATCATATCGTGTAGTGGTCGTCTTCGTCTCCTCCTTCATTGTTCGTCCTACTCGATGAGGAGGACCTTGGCCGGGTCGAATTTGGGCGCGCCGGCGCCCGCGTAGCCCCGCTGGTTGGCGAGCAGGCGTATGGGCGGCGCACCAATGGCGTCGCGGGCGACAAGAAAGTCGCAGTTGTAGTGCGTGTGGCCAAACGCCCAGGCGCAGACGCGCGGCGAGCGGAAGCACGGGTCGTCGAGCAGGTCGGTGGCAAAGGCGCTGGCGAGGGCGTCGTCGCGGGCGGCACCGTGCCGCGGATCGCGGGCGCGCGCATCCCCCGTCGGGCTCCAGTGCGACACGATGACGATGCGCAGGTCGGGGTCGCCGTGGCGCTCGATGGAGGTGACGGCCTCGTTGAGCCACTGGCGGTCGCGCTGGTGGGCGGCGTTGTGGGCGGCGACGTCCCAGCCGGCCGTTAGGCGGAAGTCGTTCATGCCGTCCTGCACGGGCCGCGCGCCGAGCGGCGGCACGTGCGAAAACAGGCTGCAGCCGAGGACGACGACCTTGTGGTGGCCGGGCCCGGGGCCGGGTGGCGGCAGGCGGTAGGCCTGGCGGTCCATGACGACCAGGTCGCCGAGGCCGCGATCGCCGGCGTCGCGGCGCGCCGTCACCTCGTCCTCGAACTGCTGCAGGATCTGGCGCGTGCGCGGCCACGACGAGTGGTACGCCTCGTGGTTGCCCGGCACAAAGAGAATGGCCTCGAACTGGCGCAGGTGCCGCGCGAGGAACGCGGCGAGGGCGTCGCGGTGGCGCGCGACGAGGCCGATGTCGCCCAGCAGCGCGAGGACGGGCGCATGCGGTGTGATGGTGTATGCGTCATAGTCGTCGTGGATCTCGAGGTGGAGGTCCGACACGATCTGGAGGGCCATGGCGCCGGGCGAGGCCATGTCGGCGTCGGTTGCGCAGCGAGCGTCTGGCGACGTTGGCGGTGCAGCAGGTATTGTGTGCGAGGACGAGTGAGACGAAAGACGCTGGGAGTCGTTGTGGGAGGGCCAATCAGCAAGCGAGTCCTGGCCCGGCTTGCTAGGCAGCCTTGGGTGCCTGCTGGGGGGGTCGTGGCGGAGGCCGACGGGGACATGCTGGCCTAGTTCCATAAACGAGTTTAATTGTCTCATTGTGTTGACTGTGTCGGCTGTTGGAGTATTCTGTAGTATTTGTTTGATTATTCAGAGCACACGGTATTGACGGGTATTGAAAAGCGCAACCAAAAGCCAAAAGACTAGCAAACAAAGAGACCAAAGGAAACAGAACGCCAAATCAACCCAAAAAGTCGCCTCGAGGCAAACGACGGCCATCCGTCATATATCTTTATTTCGTCATTGTGTCCCTGTCCATTCACGATTTCGCCAACACGAACCAGTTGCCCCCAAATCACCCCAAATCACCCCAATGTCGCGACCCAGTCCATGTTCTCGGCCCACATGGCCGGATCGGGCCCTGTGCCAAAGAGGTCCGCGCCCCACAACGGGTCGTGGTCCCAGCCCTCAAGGTTCCCCAGGCCATAGCTAATGTCGGCCACACTGCCAAGGCCATTGCCAATGCCCCCCATGCCAGGAGCACCGCCCGCCGCAGCACCAGCACCAGCGCCCATGGCGTAGCCCATGTCGGGGGGCAGGCCAGCGGCCGCGACTGCGGGCATTTGCGCGTCGGGCTGTGTCTGCGGTTGTGTGTGCATGGGCGTCGACGACCCAAAAGCCATTGATGCCGTGTGGAGGGGCAGTTGTGTCTGCGACGGCGGGGTCTGTTGTTGTTGGTGTTGTTGGTGTTGCTGTTGCTGATGCTGATGCTGCCCCGGTATATTCGTCATGTACATGTGCTGCGCGTACGGTGGATACGGACTGAATGTCGGTTTCGGTCGCTGGGGCGGCTGCGCGATGGCGCTGGTGGTCGGCGTGTGGGTGTGCTGGGTGGTGCGGGAATGGTGGTCCATGGTGCCGCCACCGGCCGCATTGCCCGCAATGCCCGCATTGCCCACATTGGCCGCGCCGACCGCACCGCCCGCACTGCTGGCCTCGCTGCCGGCGCCCCCAATCGCACCCGCCGTCGCGCCGTCTAGGTACCGCCCCACCTTGAAGCGCATAATGGCAATCTTGCGCGCCGTCAGGTCCCAGACGTTCATGCCGCGCGCGACCGAGTCGCCAAACTTGGCGGCGCCCGCGGCCCGCATCTCGCGGTTCGACTGTTCAAACCGGTCCCAGATGGTCGTCAGCGTCGCGGGGATGTCGAGCTGCAGGTCGGGCTGCAGGCGCATGTGGTCGCGCAGGCGGGCGACGGCCTGGAGCAGCGACGGGTCGCGCTGCAGCTCGCGGGGGTCCATGCCGGGGATGAAGGCAAAGGGCATGCTGGAGACGGGGCCGCGGCCACCCGGGCCGGCGATGCCGGCGATGCCAGAAATGCCAGAGACGCCAGGTTTGGTGGCAGCAGCGCCTTGGCCCGGCACGAGACGATGGCTCGGGTCGCGCAAGTCCAGCGTCGGCGTGGATGCGGATGCGGCGTGTGTCGTCGCCGAGGCCGGCTCGGCCGACGCTGGCGTTGTACTATTTGAAGACGCAGGCGTATCCACCGCCGCCTTGTTCAAGGCCGGCCCGCGCAGGTTGGCATGCGCCGGCCGCGTCGGCCCAATCAGCCGCGCCCAGCGGCTCAGCATGGTGATGCCGTAGATGAGGTGGACGTACAGCGGCAGGGGCAGCCACTGGTAGATGTGGATGGACACGGTGAAGAACTGGTCGAAAAAGGCCGTCAGGGCGGTCCGCGCGCGGTACAGCATGTCGAGCGCCGTGGCCCGCGTGGGCGACGACGCCGCCGTCAGCGCCGACGTCAGCGACGACGACAGCGTGCGCAGCAGCGGCAGGTCGAGCAGCGGCGGCTCGTAGAGGCGCAGCGTGAGGGCGCGCGCATGGCTCTCGACCACGGCGTGCGCGCGCACCGCGGGCGCCAGCGACGCCAGCAGCTGGTCGAGCTCGCTCTGAAAGGCAATCTTGTACGCGGCCTTGGGCGCGCGGGGGTACGCCGGATACGCCGGATACGCCGTGCCGTACAGGGCCTCGTCGGTGTCACCGCCACCGCCACCGCCGCAGCCCGCGTCGTCGCGGCTATTGCACGCGCCCACCTTCTCGGCCAGCTGCTGCATGCGCACCAGCGCCACGAGCGTCGCGTCCGACGACGCGTCCGCGGCCGCCTCGAGCTCGTGCAGGCACTGCCGCATGTACGGCGTGAAGCGCATCGGCTCCGACTTTTGGAAGCACAGCGCCACGCTCGACCGCAGGTACCACAGGCCCAGCAGCGCCCGGCGCTCCTCGTGCGTGCGCGGGCTCGGTGGGTTCGGGTGCAGCACCATCAGGTCCGTGCGCTCCGCAATGCGCGCCGGCTTGCCCAGGCCCAGGTCGCCCACCAGGCTCGACGCCAGGTGCAGCAGGTTGCTCAGCTGCGAGTGCATCATGCAGTGGTGGTGGTACCACGACAGGATCGTCAGCAGGCCCTGCAGCAGATCCAGCGACCGCTCCGCCCGCAGCAGCATGTAGTCCGACAGGTGGTTGATCAGCTGGAACATGAGGCCCTGCATCGACCGGTAGTTGTCGACCGACGCCACCGTCTTGATCGACAAAAACAGAAACGGCCGGTCGACGGCGAGCTGCGCGGCCGTCGCGGCCTCGGGCAGCACGACGATGGGCACCAGCGGCTGCATCTTGGTGCGGAACTTGTCCAGCAACACCGCGTCCGACTCGACCGCGTCCGTCACCGTGTCGCCGATTTCCGGCCGGCAGATGCACGCCGGCGGCGCAAACGAATTGTACGTTGCCGGGATGGTCGCCGGTGTCGTGTTGGGTTCCGTCTCGCGGCGCACATCGCGCGGTTGGCGGTCGCGGGCGTGCCGCTCGGGGTAGTCGTCGCGAATGTTACTGATGTCGGGCGACGGCACCGACATGGACGAGGGCGCCGACGGCACGGACGGAACAGAGGACCGGTTGTCGGGCGAGTCGGCGGACGCAGAGTCTGTGTGGCCGGCGGTGGACGGTGCGCCGGTCGACACGCCGGCCGCGGCGGCGACGCTGGTCGACAGCTCGCCCGTCGCGCGCAGGAGATCAACCAGGCCGTTGAGGCGTTCTTCGAGCTGGGCCGTTTTCCTGTCGAGTCTGTCAGTAAACGCGAACTGCACGAGCCATTGGAGACGGACTTTTCACGATGCAAAATGTCCGAATGGCGGGGAATAGCCATAAGCAACGGGGAGTCGACGATCCACGGCATGTTCACAAAACCCCAATATTGGTTTATATTGGCGACTAACAAGGGCAAAACAGCAAAACAAGCGAATTCACGTACGATGGTTTGCTAGCCCGCTTCTTGCGAGGGCGGTGGACCTGGTCGGTGCAGTCCTTGAAGAGGCGCTCACATCTGTCATGTTAGCAGGTAACACGAGTATGAATGCAGTGTGTTGTCCTATGCTGTACTGATCTCGTTTTGGACCTTTTTGAAGGCACACATACAACGACCCAACAAGATCCAATATCAGAGCAACGACGGGAAGAGTAAATAATTTTCACACTCAATAAAAGACAACGACACACATACCGGTCACACTTGGAGCCCGACTCTTCATTCGAGCGGATGCATTTGGCTTTGGCGGCCGCACACGACGCACAGGCGGCGCCCCATTTGGCCGTCGTCTTCGTCCGGTCGTCGCCAGACGAAGCGGCAACGCTGCCAGCACGTCCAACACCAACACCAGCCGCCGCCGACCGTGGAGATGTGCTGCCGAGCGGCATGGGAGGGAGCTGTGGATAGACAACGAGGAGGAAATGGAAAATAACAGTGGATTGAATCGCCGGACCGGGGTGTTCGCCACAGAGTGTCCGGCAAGCAAATGCAGCTGAAACAGTGACCACAGCCGCAAAATACAATCAATCTTCTTTTCTCAGAGTCGCATGTGTGTACAAGGGAAAGGTTGGGGACGGTTGGTGGACGATGGGCGATGCCAGTTGAAACGGACTTTCCGACGAGAGTCACGCCGGAGTACTACGGACATTATATCACGTGCCGGGATGACAAAACATACACAGCAGCAGGACACGGCGAGTCCGGCGATTTCTATAAAGTCCGACGCCCCACACCAGCAAGCTGTCAAACCAATAGCTCCATTAGCTCCACAAGCTCCACGAGCTCCACGAGCTCCACAAGTTCCAGATGGCCCGTCAACGTCCCTTCCTTCTATGCCTGCGCCCCCTCGTCATCCTCGTTGATGACACTGACGTCCTCGGAGAACCCCGTCACCATGCGAAACCCTAGCCGCGCCGCCGCACCAAACGCGTCCGCTTCGCTGTCGTGGCCCAGCGCCCGGTGCGCCTCGCCGCCCATGGCCAGGGCGCTGACGACGTGCACCGTGTGCAGCGGCATCCCCGGCTGGCTGTACATATGGCTGCCGTCGTCGTGTGCCGACGGCGACGGCACGCCGTACCCAAAGCATCGCAGCGTCTGGGCCGCGTACTGCAGCACCTTGGCGTGCCGTCGGCGGCATCGGTGCGCGCGCAGCAGCCACATGGTCGGATACACGAGCCCCAGGCGTGGCTGGCCTGGCTGGCCTGGCCGGCCCGGCCCAAATGTCACATCATCACCACCACCATCACCACCACCACTAGCCGTCGCAGCCGCCGTAGCCGCGGCTTCGTCCGCGTCGTAGCTCACCACCATTTGCTTGGCCAGCCGCTCCATGGCACGTACCGCCGCGTCCGGTGGGAAGCGCTGCGGTGGGTGCTTGTTGGCCAGCTTCTCGACGGCCTGGAGGAGGGACCGGCGATGCGCGTGGCCCGCCCGCGCGGCGTCCGTGGCGTCTGTCGCGGCGTCGACGCGGCACAGCGGGCACGCGCACACGAACCCCCAGCCGGCCTGCAGCTCGGCCTGCCGCGCGCGCACGTCGGCCTTGACAGGGACGTACTGGTGGAACAGCTCGTCGCCCGCGCGGATCGGCCGCGTGGCCCGGCTGATGAGGACGTCGCCGAGGAACGCGCGCATTGTGTTGGGCACGCAGCTGTGGTTGAGGTACGACGCGTGCTTCCACACGCCCTTGGCCAGCAGGCGGTGGCTGGGTCCGTGGCCGGGTCCGCGCCCGCGCCCCGGCTCAGGCCGCGTGTCGTCGAGCGTGGCGAGGGGCGCGCTGAAGCAGTTGCGCACGCGGATCGTCTCGGCCAAAAACACATCGACCACCGGCACGCCGTCGACCAGCGTGCCTTCCCGCCCGGACCGCACCAGGTCCCCGCCGTACAGCGGCTGCAGCACCTCGGCCGCCACCAACGGGTTGTCGCACATGTGCCGTACCATGGTCGCATACAGCGCCGCCGACGCGCGCGCCGGCTCCAGGTACTGGCTGGGCATAAAGGCCGCCTTTTCGACAAACACAATGTCGCCCGCCGCCATGTCCTCCGTCGCAAACAGCCCATTGCCGTGGAAGGCGGACCGCCGCACCGCCGTCTTGCGCAGAAAGCTGCCCCGGTCCAGGTGCACCTGCACCGGGTTCGTCTGCAGGCTCAGCGACGCGTACATGGCCGGGAAGTCGTACGCCTCGTCGGTGCCCTCCGTCTCTTCCCGCAGGCGCGCCAGGCAGCGGTCCGACTCGCGCTGCAGCGCCGCGTCTACGGTCGACGAGACACTCGCTTGTGCGTCCAGCGCCTTAGCAAAGTACGCCCGGCTCGTCTCGTAGTGGCACAGACCGTAGGCCGCCCGGGCAGCCGTGTAGTAGGCGCGCCAGTCCGTCGCCGCATGGCCCGTGCACGACGCCAGGGCATCGTCGCGGGCGCCGTCGTAGCGGCCCAGGAGCAGATTGACACCGGCGCGCTTTGCGTAGACACCGGCCGTAAACGTAGATGCCGTGCCGCCCGTGTCCTGCGCGTCCGTGTCCTTTGCCGCCGCCACGGCCTCCGTGTAGCAAAACGCCGCCGTCGGCAGGTCGCGCTGCAGAAACGCCATGTCGCCGGCAGCACGCCACTCGTGTGATGTCTTGTCGAGCGCCGCGCGGCTGTCGGCCGGCAGCTGCAGCGCAGCCGGCACCAGCGGGTCGTCGAAGCGCAGCAGCACCACGTCCGACGGGTGGTCCACGCAAATCATGAAATCCGCCGCCGACGGCCCCACCTCGTTGCGCTTGTAGTACGGCTCCTTGACCGCCACCACGCACCCCGCCGGCAGGTTCGACAGCAGCGACGTGTCGCTGTGGTTGTACACCGCCAGCTTGTCGGCGTCGCCCGCGGCGTCCACCACCACCGACACCGACCCGACGCCGCGGTAGGCCGCCGTCGCCGCCTGCACGACTACCATGCGGCCGCGGTGGTGCGTCTCGATGCGCAGCGCGGCCAGCGGCATCACGTCCAGCTCGCGGATCGACTTGTACGACGCCGGGTACGCTTCGGACAGAATGACCTGCTTGACCGGGCGGGCTTCGTTGTCGCCCGTTGCCGGATCCGGCATTGTCTTGAGGTGTGCATTGTGGCGCTTGACGAGCGTCTTGCGCGAGTGGCGTTTGGGTGGAAGCTGGCCGACGAGAGACGAAGCGCTGTCGCCTACATTGCCAACATCGCCAACATCGCCCGTTGTAAAATGGCTACCATTGTGCAGCTGCAGTTGCTGCATTGGCGGCAGAGGTGCAACTGCGTCGACTGCCATTGTGATTGTGCAATTCGTGATTTGCAGCATACTCAGATGGCACGCATTGGAAGCTGCTCAAGTCACCATGTTAAGTAAACTTTGGTCGTCCACTCGCATCGTCGCGGAAAGGTGTCATTTCGGACGTCGTCCTCCGTCGAAACCCCCATTCCGTCGTTTCTGGGTGACGGTTGTCTGTGATAAATTAATGCGACGAATGCGGTAGCGAACGGGACACTATGGGCCGCAGTGTCCAATATAGCCGTGCAGGGACGAGCTCAGATGAGGAGCGAGTGGGTTGCCAGCAGCATTTGCATTGGAAAAGCCACAGAGGAGAGAAGCAAAGAAAAAAAAATTAACAAAAAAGTAATGTATCTTCCCCTGGATACAATTCCCAAAATCCCAGAATTCAATAGAGTTGGCGCAAGTCTGGCGCATCGCCAATTGGCCATCTGGCTTCCCCAACTACCCCAATTCTGCGGATGTATTCGTCCAGACGCCTGGGTTGGCCTTGTACCCCAACTTGACGCTTTTTCAATTCTCGGAATCATGGCGCCGCACAACTGACTCCTGCGCGCGATCTGTGTGCTCGGATCTCCAGTACGCGGTCTATATAATTTGATAAAATCTTTCCAATACAGCGAATTCATAATGAGATTCCCATAATCCAATAATCCAATAGTCCAATTTTCCACCTTATCCCACTCGCCTTCCACCCACAATGCCGGTCAAGATCCCAACACGCAGGCTTGGCCGCGACGGCCCAGAAATCCCCGCCGTCGGTTTCGGTCTCATGGGCTTGAGCGTCGCCTACGGCACGCCGGGAACGGACGACGAGCGCCTTGCCCTCCTGGACCACGCCTGGGACATTGGCGCCACCAACTGGGACACGGCCGACTTTTACGGCGACAACGAGGACTTGCTGAGCAAGTGGTTCCGCCTGCACCCCGAGCGCCGCGCCGACATCTTCCTGGCCTCCAAGTTCGGCCTTGGCTTCGGCATCCGCCCCGACACCAAGGCACCGGGCATCACCATCTCGTCGACGCCCGCGCACTGCCACGCCAGCTGCGAAGCGTCGCTGAAGCGGATGGGCGTCGACCACATCGACCTCTACTACATCCACCGCGTCGACGGCGTCACGCCCATCGAGTCGACCATGGCCGAGCTCGCCAAGCTGCGCGACGAGGGCAAGATCCGCCACATTGGCATCTCCGCGCCGTCCTCGACCACCCTGCGTCGCGCCCACGCGGTGGCCCCCATCGCCGCCGTCCAGGTCGAGTACAGCGTCTTCTCGCTCGAGATCGAGGGCCCCGAGAGCACCGACCTGCTCAAGACGTGCCGCGCGCTCGGCGTCACGACTTTTGCGTACTCGCCCATTGGCCGCGGCTTTCTGACGGGGCAGATCCGCTCGGCCGACGACTTTGGCCCCCAGGACCTGCGCCGCGCCGTCCCGCGCTTCCAGGGCGACAATTTCGCCAAGAATCTGGTCCTCGTCGACACCATGGCCGACATGGCCGCCACGAGGAACCCCCCCTGCACGCCCGGCCAGCTGGCCCTAGCGTGGCTGCTGGCCCAGGGCGACGACATCATCCCCATCCCGGGCACCAAGAAGATCCCCTACCTCGAAGAGAACACCGCCGCCGGCACCATCCAGCTCACCACCAATGAGGTCGCTGCCATCCGCCGCATCGTCGACGACATTGGCGTCATAGGCGACAAGATGGGCCAGGGCATCCTCGCCGACTATGGCGACACGCCATCACTGGAGGCATAATACCATAATAGAATAATATCGCGGGGTTTTGGTATGTGTGTTCATATGTACATAGTCATTGCTGAATGATGAATCGCGTTGGCCGTCGAGTCCAACCAATGTCTTCACAGGCTGTTTTTCATTTCGGTGAGAGTCATTGCCGTCTTCATAAAATCACCAATCGTGTTGAGCAACGACGTGCTCGCGGGCTGCAACACCGATTCGGGGTCGTAGCTCAAGATGGCAATGGGCGTCAGCCCATTTCCGGCCGCCTGCATCGGCGGGAGCCCGTGCGCAACGAGCGTTGTCAGCAGCTTCATCGTCGTTGCGAGCTCACGGGCAAAGCGGGGCAGCGGCTTGTCAGGAACATTCGCGTTGGACCTGCTCTTTTCGTAGTCAACCATCTGCAAGTTCCACAGCCGGCAAATCTCGTGTAGCGCCGTCCAGTCTTTCATGCGCTCCGGGCTCTGCTGGTGCCAGTTGATGTGCGGATTTTTGCTGTGGTCGGCCAGATAACACTGGTATTCGACATCGTCGTCTCTTTTGCTCGCGACAAAGGTTCCTTCGACCTGAATATGCGAGTACGGGCCCGAAAACACTTGTTCGATGTTTTCCAGAACCTTGTCCATGAACAACATATCAGCGCGTCGGACCGCGTACACGATATAACGGTGGAGCTGCACGCTCTGGGACTTGTTCACGTCGTCGCACAGCAGCAGCATGGCCAGCGTCCGGCGGCCGACCGACTCGGCACCCGACGTCCAGGAAGGGAACTGGCTCTCGGGTGCAGGACCGTCGTACTTGGACATGAGTCGAGCCTCTTGGCCGCTGCCGCTCCCGAAGGCTTCTTTGAGTATCTCAACATAACTAGACGCGACGGGATAGGCCATGCCAGATATGGTAACGCGGTCAAGCAAAATCTCAATGGTTGTTGGGGACACAATGCGCTTCCAGTTGCGCCACATGTCCAGCGAAGGATCGGTGGCTGCGCCCGTGTATATCATTTCCACGTCTAGTGGTGGGCCCGGGCGGACCTGTGTGTTGCGCTGCTTCGCGTTCACTGTGCTGCTGTCCAGCTTAGCATCGATGTCAGACGTGTCAGGATCGCGCAGGCGGGGCGGTGCCCGGAGGCTGGCACAATCCGCAACTGCACCGCGCAAACCGAGTTCTGTCATGTTGACTTCGACGCTACGTACATAGCCATTGTCATCCTCGTCGAATGGCTCCACAGTTCGCTTGCGAAGATACGTTAACGGAAGGCAGTCCAGGTAGACGTCCATTGGTGTGGCCCAGAAGTAGACACAGCCACTGGGTGGATAGGCCGAGCCTTGCGCGTAGTAGCTCAGCGAGGACGATACTGGCTGGTAGGGCCTGTGCTTGCCGGACAATGTGCACAGGGCCATATGGTTGATATTCGCGCCTGCCCGGCAGCACCGCTCGATCCAGTCTTGGACTACTGCACCCCTTTTCCGCCGCGCAAAAACTTGGACGGCGGCAAAAATGGGAATGTGCGTGGCATGTGTCGTTGGTCCGTACTTTTTGAAATCCAGCGTGGGCCCGTCGATATCTGCCCCGTGCTCGAGTAGAAGGGAAAAAATGTTTTGCGCATCACAGAGTATGGCAGCCGACAGAGGCGAAAGTGGTGCCCCGTGTGGTCCGCATCGTTCTGGACGATCCACAATGGGGTATGTCAACGGGGCTTCGGTGCTAGCAGGCCCTCCGCTTTTTGCTTTTCGGTCTGCGACTGAGTTGTCAACATCAATCTCCAGCGATGGTTCGGTCATCTCGGTGTCGAGGTTTGTCTGCGTATCGTTCGGCTTCGCTTCATCCAGCAGAACTGCGTTGCCACTGTTACCATCACGTCCAGCCTCTCTCGCTGTAGTATCCTGACGCCGCAGGCGCAAGCGATCCTGGAGCAGGATGAACTGGACGATGGGCAGATCATTGTCGGACCGGATGAAGCGCGGCAGTGAATGGACAATGCTGGGCTCAACCCGAAATGAAAATCGGCCTGTGTCAAAGTAGTACTTTAGTACAGCGAGCTTGTCCTGCTGTTGTTTCTCGGTCTTGGTCGGCAGGGACACCATACGCCGCGCAAAGGTGAATTTTTGCTGGTGCCAGGCCGTGCGGAGATTTTCCAAGTCAAAGTTCGCCTCGCTAATGTCCTTTTCGGACCGTGGACACAGCCCAGGGTCCAGTACGGCGCCCAGCTCTGTGAACACACGCATGGTCGTCTCGATGTCGGGCGAGCGTTTCAAGACGGCAACCAGCGTGGACCGTGCTTTCAGGATGGTCGCCGCGTTCCTGCCTCGCCCACGAGAGCCGGCAGTCATGTTTCGCATGACAACGGTGCCACGAAAAAAAGACGGTGACGCGCCGTACACGTCGACGAGGCGGCGGACGATGTTGTGCTGGGCGTTGCAGATGGCCCAGTCCATGGCATCGTCCCGTGCGGCCTTGGAGCGGAAGAGTTCCAGTTCGACGTGGGAGTGCAGGCTCTTGCTGCTTCTCATTAGAGACACCACGTCGACCGTATTGAGCTCGTCGAGGACGCTGCGCATCAACTCGGGCGGCAGCAAGCCAAAGTAGCCGCTCATAGTCGGAGTGCCCATGGCGGGGCGGTGGGGTGGCGAGGCAAGCTCGCCAGTTGTTGCTTCGGTATGTGAGAGATGGCGCGTGTGTCTTGGGGTGGACGAAGGAAGACAACAATGAAAAATGTAGAGAGCGCGTGGCGTTTTGTGGGATGTGGAAAAGGGGTATCCAAACAAGGATTACAAAGGAAGGTGCTGTGAAAATTTATGACAAAATGGCAAGAGCGATTGTGTAAAAGAGCTGTCGTTGTTCAGATAGAATGCCCCACTTTATTCTTAGGAAAGCACGGTCCAGGTACATCGTGCGGCGGCAGAGTAGATCTTAGCGTGCTTTTGCTGAGACGCCAACGCCTGAATGTTCCTTGTGAAGACAACGACGCCACAATCATGGTTGAGAGCAGCGCAAATGTCGATGCTACAAGTATACATGGAACGTATGTCGTACCTCACCTAGTTCTACCGTTATATTTTGTTTCGTTCTCTCAACGGCGGGTCTCAAAAGTCGGTAAAAACGATATGGATTTATCTTGATCACGTGATCTATCAAGAACATATGCAAAGTAGTCCCAATATGTCTACAGCACAAGGCGACAAAATTCACTTTTGTTGAAGAGTATGGCCATTGTGGAGGGAGGAACAGTTACCCGTCAGTTCTACAGTGTCTGTCTTGGTCACGATAGGTTGAGAAAAGAATATAATAGCGGAGACATGTGAAGAAAATAGAAATTCATATTTCCTTAAAATAAAAGCTAATAAAACAAAAATAAATTAATGACCAAAATATTCCCTAAAATATTCAGTAAACCAAAATATTTACAACTATCGCAGTGCAAATGTATGACAAGCATGTGGTCTCTCAGAACTATTCCTTGCTTGGTTTGATAGTCTCCAAGTCACAATTTATCAACACCGACATTTAGCACCTCATGGTATCCACGACCCTCGTATCATCACCCTTGTATCATACCGGTGTACAGTGCGTACATTGTGTACATTGTGTTATTTTCGTATTTACAGTCTTCTTTCGGGTCCTGTCACATATAAATATCCTCCAGAAAACAAAAGTACAGAAGCCGTATGTGCTGCCAAAGGTGGTATATAAAACGCCGGATACGAATGTCGTGAGAGTGTTTTTGTCGTTTCTTTTCGGTTTTGTGGTGTCTTTCGTCGTTCCCTCACAGACACTGCGAATAGTAGTCGTTTTGGAACCTGCAGGTCGTTCCGGCCGCACAGCCGCCACAGCCGTTCCACGTCTTGCCCGCACACTGGCCGTACTTGGCCGACTGGCAGTTTTGGTAGTGGTTTCCGCTGTTGCCGTTGTTTCCGTTGTTGCCGTTGTTTCCATTGTTGCCATTGTTGCCTCCATTCCCCCTGTTTCCGCCATTTCCATTGTTCCCTCCGTTGCCTCTGTTTCCGCCATTGCCATTGTTCCCTCCATTCCCTCCATTCCCTCCATTCCCCCCATTCCCTCTATTTCCACCGTTTCCTCCCTGTCCACCGTTTCCGCCTTGTCCACGTTGGCCTGTAAAGTAAGTAGGTCGGATATTAGTGGATGTCCGTCTATCGTCTAGGCATGGGAAGTTATCCGACTAAGAAAAGAAGCAGAACAACGAAAGGCATGCCACAACAACCGACACCATCGAAGCACGGCACAGTGATCCTCCGCTCGCATCGTCGCCCAAAGACCTACCTCCACTGGACACCAGCACCGGCGTGCCCGTCACGGGCGTCTCGTCGATGCTGCACATGTTGCTGCAGCCGCCGGGCTTGGGCATGTAGGCGGCGTCGGTGTTGTTGAAGACCATCTCGATCCACTGGATCTGCAAAAAGGCGGCGCCGTCGGCGCTCATGTTGCCGCTCCAGGAGCCGCCGTCGCTCCAGCTGTTGAACATCACCTGGGAGGGGTCGCGGGGCGCCTGGAAGGTGATGGTGGAGGCCAGCTGGCCGTCGACGTACCAGGACGTGGCGCCGGGGGTCCAGTCCATGCGGTAGTGGGCCCAGTCGTTCCAGCGGTTGCCGCCGGGCATGGTGACGTTGCGCGTGGCCTGGGGGATGTCGCCGTCGGCGTTCCACGAGGGCTGGTTGGTGAACTGGACGCGCGTGGGCGGGTCGCGCGTGCGGATCTCGAGGTCGGACTCCTGCACGAGGTTGAGGTTGTTGTTGGCGCCGGCGCGGTACGTGAACATGGCCGTGATGGCGCCGGGCGACCCGACGGTGCGCGCGTACATGCGCACCGACAGGTACTTGTAGCCCTGCGACGACGACTCGATCTCGGCCGACGTCTGGAACGCGTTGAGCCGCGCCGTGCGCATCACCATGTACGTCGGTATGTCGCGGGCGTGCAGCGTCCGGTGGTGGGCGCCGGCCGCCCGGCTGGACAGGTTGCCGACGTGGTCCGAGTTGTGCTCAATGTAAATGTTGTTGGGCGAGTTGACCATGAACAGCGTCGCGTCGCTGCCGGTGACGTCCGAGTTGTTGGCCTTCATGAGCGCGCCGTTGTCCCAGTTCTGTGCCATCCACATGTTGGTCCAGCGGTCCGACGAAAAAAAGGCATTCGTCGCCGGCGCGTTGATGTTGGACGGTGCGTCCTTGAGGACGGGCGGTGTGTGCGCGTACTCGCTCAGGTTCCGGAAATCAAAGAAGCTGTGGTGCGAAAAATAGTTGGCCGTCGAGCTGTTGGTGTGGTAGCACGTGCAGTTGGCGTCTGTCGTGAGCGGATACGGTGATGTGGACGGCGTGTTGGCGGCCTCGACGCCGTGCCATGATAATGAGGCCCACGCGGCGACTGTGATCCACGCCAGCGCCTTGGACGACGACGAAGAGGGCGACGGTTCTCGCACGGATGGCAACATCCTGGCACGCGTCGATGATCTGTATCTCTGTCTGGTCTGTGTTAGTAAGGAAAGCCTACAAACGTCCAATGTCTTTCTTGTCAAAAGAAGTCGACTCAGCCTCATGAGGCTCTGGTGGAGTACGGGAGAAGGGATGAAGGTGGAGAGTTGCAATGAGGGCGAAAAGGAGAAAAAGTGAATAAAAACAAAGGTAAGGTAAGGAGGAAAGAAAGGAGCAAAAACCAGCACTCGTCCAGCCAACGTACAAAGAGTGCATCCACCGATCTGAGCGTCAAATCGAGGCCTTCCCCTCCTTTTCCTTTTCCCCCGGAGAGACACAGGGCAATAACGGCAGCCGGTGGTTAAGTAGTCGCGTCGGCAATCGAATTTGCCAAGAACGGCAAGGGCCAGCAAGCGAGAATTCTTGTTGGAAAATGGTGGAGAGTACAGCGTAAATGAACACGCGTGCTGGTCACAGTGTCAAAGTTGTTCTCTGTATTGTGTTGGTGACGCACGCCGTCTCAAAGATGCTCCGTGTTAAACAAGCCGAGCGTTGGCGGTTAGTGAAAATAAATGAAGAGCGTGTTTATGGTGATTATGGTGATTATGGTGTTATGGTGTCTATGGTCTTTGTGAAGGTGATGAATATATATGCCTTGGAAAGAGAATATGGAAAGGGCCCAAAAAATAAAGAAAGAAGGAGGGTGTGGTAGGCAATGTGGCAAACACTACAACAAACGAGGACAGGCGAGGTTAAAACATGGGGAAAGCAGGAGGATCGGAAGAAGAGGATGGGGTGGGAGACCTCCTGGGGTGGTGGAGAGGTGGACAACTGCCACACTTGGCCGACTCTTGGTACGTCTTGGGATGACTTGGGATGTCTTGAGAACAGTCTCAGTGTAAACGTTTGGCCGGTTGATGAAGAGGGTGACGAGTTCCTTTACAAGGGCATCGTCTCATCTATGCTGTATAAATCGACGCCTTGACATTAAAGAGTCTAGACCGCTTCTCACTTAAAATACGGAACTTAAAGAAAGGTAAAAGGTAAAAGAACAAAGGGGCCACCATTGTCATCCAGTACCAGGGCTTGTCGAAAAGGGACAAACAGCAAGGTAGAGGGAAATACTAAATAGGCAGCCCGGAAAATAGCAATGGTAAATTGAAAATTAAACAAACAGAGCAAGGAGAGCAGTAGAAGTGGAACTTCAAGGGAAGAATGGCAGAAAGACGTTTCATCCAAAAAATGCTTAGCAGGCCTCCATGTTCGGCAGTCAGCAGTCGCAAAGTCTGGTCCTCTTCGGCCCATTTGCAAAAAGTGGAGACGAAAGGAGACGAAAGAAGAAGAGGTGGAAGGACAGCGACAGGCCATGGACGACATAGTAGGTTTGCCATTCAGCCACCGGATCGAGTAGCCTGTATTTCCTTGTCGGGCTGGGAGATCGTTGGCTGGGAGGATGGGGGAAGATGTGCAGGATTTGGGGCGACTGGGGCATATTTACCCGAAAATTGACGTGGATGTCGTGATTGGGAAATTGAGGGGGGAATCTTAACGCAGCCACGGGGTGAGCAAGTAGAAATTACGGGGAGTATATTTACGAGTAAAGAGACAGCTAAAAGAGGCAGAGAAAATAAAAAAAAGAATGTCAGGGAATGATGTGCAGATGTGCGTAGAGTCCAAAAAGAGAGCTTGGGTCAGTTTCCACGATCCACGATCCACGACCCACGTAAAAAGAGGCACAGCAGGGGGAGGGAGATCACAGGGGAACAGGACCAGGAATCCGACAGCAGCGCATGAAATACACCGCAAGAAACAAAGCGACGAACACAACAGCAAACGACCATTATTGCCAGGTGGCATAAGTGGCACTGTGCCAATCTGGACCGAAATGCAGCTGGAGCCGGATGTTCACCAATCGGTTCAGATCTTGCTTGTCTGCAGAGTTTTTCAGACTACGGAGCATTGCATTGAATTCTAATTTTATTGACACGTGCCAGGTCTAGAGCGCAGAGACGATGGGCAGAAAAGTCAGTCGAAGAGTGTGCCTGGGCAAGATGGGCGGGATGGCAAAAGGGCGACGCAAGACAGAGGCATCCCAATAATGGCACATTTTATGGCTCACCCGCGTGCAAAACGAACCATTTCGGGCCCGAAACGCGGCTTACATCTGCGCCGCACGCGTGGAGTCGTACTGGAGAGGGCACATTCTGCGCCACACAACGACGGAAGATTCGCTTCTTTTTCATTTTCGTTTGACATGTTTGCTTCAGCATGCTAGAAGGTTCGGATTGACTAAGTTGAGAATATTCGGAGCGTATGCAAGAAAGTTGAAAAAGAAAGTTAGGCGTAACAGCAAAACAGTATGAATTCTTGGAAAGGAATACATAAAACTCAAATTCATCCTTCGCTCGTGAAACGGAGGATTCTGTGCCTGGCGTGGCGGAGCTGCACTTGCTGACAATGATACATCTGACCAATAAAAAAGGCAGGCGGAAGATGCCGAGAGACGCAACCTTCTGAATGGTTCAACAAAAACGACGTACAAAAAGCGGCTCCAATCAACAAGAAGAACAATCCTCATGACCAGGACAGCAACAACAACGAAACGATACAGCAAAACGAATCACGACGACCGACAAAAAAACGTACAGCAGCGGGTATTCGCTGGTCGTCACCGACCCAACTACTAATCCGCCGATTATTGGTTTGACTAGGGGAGAGCGGACGGGATCCCGTATTCTCCAATATCTGTGGCCGTACGTGGAAGATGCAGATGGAGACAGGGCTTTTAAGGGGATGCGTACGTCAATTTGCAAAATGACGGGAAATGGCGAGCAAGAAATGCAGGTCAGAGCAACGCACGTCCACAGAGCAACACACGATGTCCGCAGCACGGCAAAGACTACGCAGCACCACCACTTTTGGGCAGATACGGTCAGACGAGAATAACAATGTCCTACCTATCTGGTGTGTAATGTGGCGCAAGTGCACCTGCAATGCATTTGTCCTCTTGAGGCTCGTGTCGTGCCGGTGGAGATGCTGCAGAATGGGCTGTTTGGGTATTTCCTCATTTGGATTAGCAATGTTATTTCTAGCACAGTCATTGGCCAGTCATCTCGCATTCAGCAATGTGTGCCCCTTTTCGTCGTACTGCGTATTGACTTTACTCATGGTGCCGCCTGCAAAAGGTAGAGATTATGTGTCTTTTTGTAGGGAAACTCTCAGTTTAAACTCATGGAAATAATCACGTAGCGTTTTGTTTGTATGTGGTCCGCTATTTGGATGGTCCAACCTCGTTTTTGTGTACGATTTATCCTGCAAAGCATACGTTGCCTTGACTCTGGAAACCGAGAAGCCTTGGGAGACACATCGACAGTTCTCAACGCGGTCGTAACAAACATTGTCTCTCTGAATTTGCATAGCTTGGTTGTAGACCTCGATCCAAGGCCAGTTACTACACTGGAGGTAACTGCATTTGACAACTTAGACGCATCATTGCCAGAGACGGTGGACGGTTACAAGACGGTCATGTGTGTTTGCGCTGAGTAGTGCACCGTCACTGGGCTTTACTTTTTCGATCAAAAGCTCTTCAGCAGAGATTTCCCGCTGGTCAGGTTTTGCTAATGAGTGCAATTCTTGTCATCTTTTGCTCATTATTTTATTTCCAATCTGAGACCTCCTAAATCGGATAACAGTGCTGTCGTCCCAGGATGCGTCCTGAGTTTCAATTACAGAGGCCGTTTCCAGCTACTATTCTCTTCGTCTTCCGGCCTGTGGCGGCCTTTTTCTCCAGTTGTTTTCATTATCGATCAGATTACTACGTCTAGGATTTCTTTTCGGCCGTTCTTCTACCGCTTGTCTCGTCGTGTCGAATAAACATCCAGTCTTCACATTGTAATTCTACAGGTCATCCCCAAAGTTCTGTACCAATTCAACACACTCTCTCAATCTTCAACGAAGGTTTGCGCAACACCGTTCGATACCTGTCCTTGTCAGTGCACTGGTGACACAAGGACGTAATGCACCCCAGCTTTTCCACTTTTTCACCCAGACCGACCCCACTGTTGCGCCCCACTTTTGTCTACTTGACGACGTCTTTACTTTCTTCTCACTTTCTTGTCAACTTTTTCTCAGCTTTTCCTCAGCTTTTTCTCACCTTCTCGTATGTTTATATTTGGACCCTCTTTGATTTTATTCAAGTCGTCTCTTTAAATTTCAATCGTCGTGGATGTGTGGATAACAAGACGAAAGTTCAAACGATCAATTCAGACGCTGGCCAGAGTTTGGGCCGACTGGAGACTGCATACACCTTGGTCGTTGAATGGTTTGATTGACTGACGTCGGCAAGGTGTTCTGTCCATGTCTGGGAGCACCTGCTCTGTCCATGTGATGTGGTTGAGTCTATCCATCACCCATTTTATTTTAGTCCGTACACGGCAGGGCAGTGTGTAGAAGCAGGCCATCTTAGATTCCATGGGGCAATCATCTTTTGCTTGAGTATTTGCAAACAGGAATGCTCCCACGCTCTAGCGTTGCCCTTTGTCCTGCCCATAGGAAAGGTTCCCTTCCCTTTCTCTTTCATCGTCTCTGTAGGTTGTAGGGTGGCGAGAAAAGAGGAGTCATTCTATTTCCTCTTTAGCATGTCGCTCCCATTGAACAATTTATGTCTATTGATTTTATTTTAACGACATTTTACTGACCATCATTATTTTTGTGCCGGCATCCGACCAGATGACTATTTCTTCTTTCAGAAAGAGCGAGTCCACAAAACAGTAGCTTGCAGCGCGCAGAGCTGACAGCTGTTAGGCTCAAGGTCATACTCGCAGTGTTCGCTGAACAGGTCCCACACCCACCGGAAGCAGTTCCGGCCAGCCACCTAGCCGTGCTGCATTTTCACGCCTTCCAAGATGCTCTGGATCCATTCACTGACATTCGTTTTCTGAAACACTTTCCCACCCCATGACGTGTGGTTTTGACAATATTTTTGATATTTGGTCAACCGAGCCTGCGCCAAGTGGTACCTGCGTTGATCAAGGGAAGGAGTGAAGACGCAGAGCTTTGCACATTGTTCCACAACAAGGTAATCCCCGGTACCCGGGTGCTTCCAAATGATGGCATTGTGACTTGTATGCTTGGTATGGAGTGTTCAATGGAAGCCGTTGATTGTAGTATGTTCGCACCACAATCTGAAAGGACTTTGGCATCACCTTGATGCCTATGTCGTTCTTTCGTAGAAATAGAGTCCTTGTCGTCTTCACACAGTCTCATATACACTACAACTGAACTGCAAAAGGTGTGGCGATGGTTGTGGTGGTGCTGTCCTTGTAGGCCCAAAAGATACGCTTCCCCTGTCCTCTCAGATGGCTCTCACCTTCTTCTCACATTCTCACTTTCAAAAATATATTCTTTATCTGCTCTGCCCATACTTCCGAGTGTCCTCATTGCATTCCCATTGGTCACAAGGTCCATGAATTCGTTTGCTCCTTCTACAATGATGTGTCCGTTGCTCCTTTCTCGTCGTGCTGGATGCCCGCCGCCCACTACCCAGAACGCGCTCCACTCACAACAACAGGAACGAACCTGGCACGAGCATGTTCCCTGGACGCGAGAAAAAGGTGAGGCCTCGTTCTTTTCTTGGCACTTCTCCTTTTTGGGTCAAATCAGTGAATTCACGCATCCCGTTTGGGACGTGAGGCCTCGACATGCCGTCATCGCGGCCCACATCGTGCAGCTTGTGCACCCACGCCCATTGTTTGTTCTTGCTGATTCTGCCTCTCTCTGTCCGTATTCACTCAACAAAAATAAAGGCCATTGTGTTTTTTTTTCTATTCGTCCGTGCAAGCGGAGAATGGTACCATTTTTGACACCGCCTGCTGCAGACATTTTTGCACGCTCGCACGGATCAGCTGCTCCCCCTCCCCTCCAGCAGTATATGTATCTCCTCTCTCCCACTCAACTCTGCAAAGTCTCTTCTCCTTCTTTCTTCTT